CCCCAAAACCCCAAAACCCCAAAACCCCAAAACCCCTAAATTATAATAGCAAATTGAAAATTATTGTAATATGTCGCTGAAAGCAAACGTGCAGATAGCCGTTCTTGTATCAGCCTTCCGAACAATGGGAGTCTGCGAGCAAGGAGACTACTACTGCGAGGTGAGGTTCTATATAGAAACCCCTATTGCTAGGTACTATGCCAACCCAGTACAACGAGAAGGGATAAGAGAAAGTATTCTCCATCTTAAAGAATCGAGAGTTATCAATCGTGATATGATCGATGTAATCCCTGAACGCTCTCAATGCAGAAAGAAATATACTACCCAGATTATGCGGATTCGATACAACCTTGAGGAGTGTAATATGAACGAGCTGGTTTTCTTTACTCATGAAATTGATCTTCCTAAGGTCGAGACCAGTGACGACTGGCTGAGTGTCTACATTCCCTTAAATATAGAAGTAAAGTTATTTAAACTAGAGACATATGATGAAATGGACATTCAGGATTACCAAGAAGTATCTACAAAAAGCTTCAGAGTAGGGGATATTGTAGAAGGAATCTTTAAGGCAACTCCAGTAGTCTTTGACTCTCCCTACTCATGTATTCTCAGCACATCAGTTTTTGTACTGATAAAGAACATATCATTCTCTGCTCGAAGTAAGATGAGGAAGGTAACTCATAAACCTAACCTCTTTAGGAGTTTGATCAGCCTATTTTTGAAAGAAGAGATACTAGAAGAGTCACTTATAAAACCTCGAGAGAGGCAAATAAGTGAAATATTTACAGCATGACTAGTTTCACAGAAAATGACTTGTACGACGAGGATCCCCCTGAAAACTTTCTAGAACTTCTCTTTCCAGATGACGATGAGGAAGTCTCTGTCGAAGATGCCCAGAATGCATATGAAATGGCCTGTAACCTAATGATATGGCACTTCAACAAGATGCGAGAGACTTATAAAGAGTTTTATTCACATTTAAAGCCTAAGAGAAAGGTCCATTTACCCGAGACTCCTGCTTTTATTAAGCCTAAAAAGGAGTTCAGGAAAGACCTTTTTATCAAACAGGAAGAAGAGCCTGTTGGTAAAGTCCAAGAAGAAGAAGAGAAGCTTTCTTCAGATAAATCATCAACAGAGAGCAACTCAGTGTCCATAGGGCCCCGAGTTAGAATCGAAGAAGAGAAAGAAACCACCTTTAAGGACAAAATTAGCGAAGCTTGGGACTACTTCACTAATAAAGTTGCTGATATCTTCAGAGAGACAAGAGATGTTGTCATGATTCCAAAGGCAAAAGTCGCTAAGATTATTGAGGGAGAAATATACAAGCTAAACAGAGATATAGTAAAAGGTTGGGAATTCCTGATAGATCTCTCTAGAACACATCCCGTCTACATCAAGCGATATCATGAAAACAAGTATTGGAGGCTTTACAACCGTGTAATCGAGGAAAAGAGGATGATATCCAGAGAAATTCACCAACTTGATGAAATAGTCCCAACCAAGGAGTTAGATGAGATAGCTGCCGAGATGAAGCAACTCAGAGTAGACTACCTACAGTCCACAGGGCTTGAGACAGCCCGTGGACTCATAGGTGAAAAATGTATCTACAGAGAAAATAATACTCCCATATTTTATGAAGAAGTTCTTGAAAGAAAGGGTGGTTTTAAATAAATCAGCCACCAAAACAATGACTGAAAAAGATGATAAATTTGCCGAGATTTTTGAAGACTCGATCCATGTAGTCTTTCTCATCCATGGCTTTGGAGGAAAATCAAAGGATATGCAGAAGCTGTCGAATATCCTTGCACTCAGGTGTCCAAAGATTAGACCAATAATATGAAAATCTGTAGAAAAAAATGCAGACGACCCAAAATTTAATATTGAGAAGTTAGGTCATGAACTTGCAAAGGAAGTAGAAGATGAAATAGTCAATGAATGACAAGGATATGATAAGCTTAAAATGTCCTTCATCGGACATTCCATGGGTGGGCTTGTCATCAGATATGCTCTCAGACACTTGAGAAAGTATAAGGATAACTTAGAAACCTTGATGACTCTAGGGACTCCTCATTGAGGCTACATGCATTCTAAAAGTTCACTCATTTCTTATGGAATATGGGTACTAGACAAAGTTGTAGCTAATCCTTTGCTCAATGAAATACGATTAGGAGACTCCAAAGATGTAAAAGAGAGCAGACTTTACAAGCTGTCTCAGTCTCCAGAGATTGGATATTTTAAGGAAATATTGATGTTTGGATCAGACCAAGACACTTTCGCTTCCATTGAGACTTCTCTAATAAAAGCCACAGCAAGAATGAAGAAGCTAAAGAAATATGACTCGTTCCAAGAGATGCAAGATAACATACAGTAAGTCAAGTAGTTAATAATTTAGGGAATCTTTACTAAGTGGGAAGAAAAAGAAACGAATAACATTAGTAACAGTTGATTTACAACTCAAGCATGATAGCTTAGGTGCCTACATTGGTCGAAAAGCTCACATAGAGTTCCTATCTAATGTTGAACTAGCCAAGATGATCATGAGTAGGTACAGCTATGCATTCGATTTATAACCCCTAATCAATGACCTAGCTTAAGCTGGGGTTTTGGGGTTTTGGGGTTTTGGGGTTTTGGGGTTTTGGGG